GCCACAGCCACAGCCACAGCCACAGCCACAGCCACAGCCACAGCCACGGCCTGATGCTCCCCTACCCAACCAGTGCGGGGGGGGGGGGGGGGGGGGGGGGCAAGGACCTACTCACAGCCTTCCCGGGCCAGGTAGAGGTTGCGGGTGCCGGTGGGCTTGGGGCTCTTTGGCCTTCGCAGCCGCTGGGCCTCCTCACGGCTGACAGCCAGGTCCACCCGGAGACGGCGGCCCCCCAGGTGAAGCCCCTGATCCTTGCGGGGAGAAAAACAAGGGGAGAGGGGAGCATCCCCTGAAGGGGCTCCGGTGAGCTCGAAGGGGCAGCCCCCCCCCCCCCCGCCGCCCCCATCGCCCCACAGCGTCCTGCACTCACCTCCCTCTCCTCCTGCGCCGCCTGGAGACATTTCTGGGCAGCTTCCTGGGTGGCGAACTGGGCAAAGGCGCAGCCTGAGGGGGGCAAAAGGGGGGGGGGGGATTGGAGGAAAGCAGGCAGGCAAGGGTGGAGGAGGGGGCTTCTGACCTGCCCTCGGCGGGAGGAGCGGGGACAAGGAGAAGATCCACCTTGGCCCTTAGCTCCCCCGCTCCCCCGGGTCTCCCACAGGGGAAGGGGGAACCCAAGGAGGGGGGCGGGGGGGCTTCCCCGTGGCCAAGCGGGGGCGCCCCGACTTCTCTCGCCAGCCCCACTCACCTTTGGAGTGCTCAGTGTCGGGGTGCAGCACAAGCCGGACGTATTTCAGGTCCCCAAACTGCTCCAGCAGCTCCCCCAGCTCTTCCTCTTCCGTGTCGAACGACAGGTTCCTGGAGGGGGGGGGCGGCAGCAGAGACGGCTCCTTCCACACCTGTCCTGCCCCCCCCGGCCCTCCCCCCCCAGGGCAGCTAGAGGGAGGGGGGCGCCCAGTCTGCCTGGCAGGGGGCAGGGGGCTCTCCCTGGACAGAAGCCCTTGGGGGCTGCAGCACAGCAAGCCCCCAGACCCACCTGAGGAAGACAGTCCGGCCCTCTGCCACGTCCGAGGGGCACTGCTTCTGCTTTGGGGGAGGGTCTTCTCCTGGGGGGTGGGGGGAGGAAGTCAGTGGAGGAGACGACGGGAGGCCCAACAAGCAAGTGAGCCAGAGAAATGGGCGCCAACCCCCCCCCCCCCCCCCCGGGAGTCTCCGCAGAGGCCTGGCTGCCCCTCCCCCCCAGCACCTGGGCTGCACTCAAGGTGGCCCCTGGAGGGGGGTGAATGAAAGGAAGCCCCAGCCAGGATGGGATCCCTGGGAAGGACCCCCGTTACCCTTCGGGCAATACAGAGGATCCCTCACTTAAAGCATTCGTTTAGTGACCGTTCAAAGTTACAACGGCACTGAAAAAAATGACTTCCGAGCCGTTTTCCTCTCTTATGACCACGGCATCATCCCGGTGATCACGATCCAGAAGGGTCGCAAAATAGGGCAAAACTCATTTAACAAACGTCCTGCTTAACAGCAGAAATGTCAGGCTCCCCTGTGGTCATAAGTCGAGGCCCCTCTGTGCGGGGTCTTCTGCTGCTGCTCCAGGTATTGACGGATTCTACGGGTGCAGGCCCTCCTCATCCCCCCCCCCCCCGGAGCGCCTGGATCCACCAACCTGCTCCTTCTTCTTCCTCTTCCTCTTCTTCTTCCAGGCTCTCCTCCCCTTCCTCCTCCTCCTCCTCCTCCTCGGAACTCCCATCCTCGCCGGGTCCCTCCTCCTGCTCCATGGAGCTGGCCTCCTGCTCTTCGTCTTGGCTCTCCCCGGGGGGGCTGGGGAGCCTGGGGTCCCTGCCAGGAGGAGAGGCCAGGCAGATGGCATCAGGAAGAGGGGGCCCACCTGCTGGCTTTGGGCGGGGAGAGGAAGCGGCCGAGCTCTGCAACTGCCCACCGCCCTTGGGAAGGCAGCCCCGGCTGACCACCGGCGCTGCCGCTTCTGCCACCAGCGTGGCCCCCCCAGGCTCCCTGCGGCTCACCTGCTGGGCCTCCCTGGCCCAGAAGCCTCCGGTCTCCCTTGCGTCCCTTCGCTCCCACCCGCGCTGCCCGGCTGGCCTTTCTTCTTCTCTGGGGACAGACAAAGAACGTGAGGAGACAGTCCAGCCCTCGTGCCAAATCAGAACGGGGCTTATTGGGCCACCGCAACATGTGTGAAGCCTCTCCAAAAACTGGCTGCAAAATAGCCCCGGAAAGAAGGCGAAGAGCTGAGGAGCAGAACAGATTCCTGCCCCCACTCAGGCCTCCACCCCCCCACCCACCCCCCGATTCAGACGAGACGGCCACTCACCAGCGGGGACGCCTCCGCCTTCTGCCTGCGCAGCCTGGAACTTCTCCCGGGCCACAGCCCAATCCACAGCCACGGGTCGCTCTGCAGAGAGTAAGGGGGGCGCTGAGGCTGCCTGGGGGTGGGGCTAAGGCGGGGCAGAGGCTTCCATCACCCGAGTCCGTCTCTTGCCTGCTTTTAAAAACCCGACAGGCCTCCCAGCCACCTTAAGGGCTGCCCTGCTTAGCTGCCAGGCCTCAGCCAGATGGCGGGTGCCAGTGCAGTGGCGAAAACAGACCTAGTGGAGACCCCTGCCCTCTTTCCCCACGTGGCCAGGGTTACCGCCGCCTCCCCTCTTTGCCCCCCTCCCTGCACCAGGCAAAGCCCTCTGAAAGTCCGCTTAGACCAAAAAGTCTCCTTGCTGCACGGCCCAAGGGAAACGGCAACCTAGACAAACCCCAGCTTTCCCTCCTCAATCGGGGATGTGCCCCCCCAAATCTGGCCTAACCTTAGAACTTGCTCAGGGACAGGAGCCGCCCAGCTTCCCCAGGTCCCTGGGAATCCCCTCCCTGCAGCCCCCAACTTCAGTTAAACCCTGGCTTCCCCCTGGATTTGAGGCTCCTCCTTCCCATGAAGCACCACGGCCCCGGCTCAGTTTCCTTTTATTTAGGACCCCTTCCTGCTGCTGACCCTCGGCCTGCATGGAAGTGAAGCCGGTGTGCGAAGGGAGAGGGGAAATTCTCCAACCCCTCCCCAGGCTGGTATCCACTGAGCCGCAACCGGTCCCCCTCTGGGAGGCCCTCAGCACGAGGGACAGACTCCCACCCGAACCCTGAACGGGACTCACCTTTGATCTCCTTCATGTTCATCCCCTTCAGGGCTTTTCCTGCTTCCAGGACATTCCGGAACTGCACGAAGGCAAAACCGCGCAGCTTTCCATCTGGAAGGCAAAGATCAGGGCCAGAAGCCCCGTCACACATCCCACCTCTTCCCTGCATCCCAGGAACTGCAGCTTCCGCCCCGCAAAGGGATGGGGGCAAAGCAGCCCCTCACCCAGAGCAGGGAGTCTCCTGGGTTCACCCAGTGGTGTCTGAACACAGACCTCTCATACATTTTGTTTCGTTTTACCAGCCTAGGTGAAATGTTAACGTACTAAAGCTAGCCCCTGTACCCTGAACCCAAAGAAAGGAGGGAGAGAGAGAGAGAGAGAGAGAGAGATAGAGAGGAGGAGAGGGAGCCTTCACCGGGACAGGCAGGAGAGAGGCGCCATGAAGGAGGCGAGGGGAGCGCATGGCTCAGGCTCCTCTTGTCCCTCCAGAGCACCAGGACGGCCTCCCGCCCTCCGGCTTTCCCTGCCCACCTACCAGGCTTCCTGGGCAGGGAGGCTTCCAGGACTGTCCCGAAGGGAGCAAAGGCGCTCTTCAGGTCGTCTTCCGTGCACTGGGAAAGAGAACCGAGAAGCCAAAGGGATTCAGGGGCGAAGAGCGCAGGGATGGGGGGGGAAGCAATGAGCCCCTCTCCCAATCTGAAGGGGCGCCTCAAACCCGGGCAGGGCAGCCGCAGCCTCCCTACCTACCTACCTTGAAGCTGAGGTTGCGGACGATCAGCCGGGCCTTTTTGGGGGGGATCCGGGCCTTGGGGGGCTCCTGCGGTTGCCGGGGAGCCTCGGGGGGCGCCTCCTCTGGGGAAGGAAGGGAGAAAGGCGGCGCCGGGTGGGTGAGGGAGGGAGGCGGCCCGGGGGAGACCCCCAAAAGCCGCACCAGGGCTCCGCAGCCTCCCCGGGACCCGAGCCCCGCCCCCCCTCCGCCGCCGCTCACCTGCGCCGCCGCCGCCTCCGGCCGCCCTCCGCCTCTTGGGCCGCGCCAGCGCCAGGCTGACCCGGCGGCCGCCGAAGGTGCGGATCTCGCGCAAGGCCCGCTGCGCGTCCTCCGGCAGGGAGAAGCTGACGAAGCCCAGCCCGGTGCACGCCTCGCCGCCTGCAACGACAGCCCGCCCCGTCAGGCGCCGGACCCGGAGGAACCTCCCCCGCCCGTCCTCCCCTTCTCCCCCCCCCCCCGCTCACCGGGCGCCGTCACGGCCACCGCCCGCCGCACCGGCCCCGCCTGCCCGAACTCCCGCTCCAGGTCGGCGGCGCGGGCCGAGGGGGGCAGCCCCCGCACCAGCACCGTCCGCCCCATCCCGCCGCCGGGGAAACACGCGCGCGGCCCGAGCACCGCCATCTTGCGCCTCCCGGAAACGGAAGGCGGGCCGGCCGGAAGCGACGGCGCCCCCGCCAGGAGCGGCGGGGAAGAGCGTCTCCGCCCGGTGGCGCGAGTGCGCATGCCCGGATCGGGCGGGGCTTTCTTCCCCTGCCGACCGCTGGTTTGCGGAAGGCTTCGGAACAGGCGGGCGGGGGGGCGGGGCTGCGCGGCCGGCGGGGGGGGGGGGGGGGGCTGTCCTACTGCGAGCTTGCCCCGCCCCCGGGTCTCCCCGGCCTGCCCGCCCAGCCCGGTCCGGGGTTCAAGTGGTGGGTGGCAGAGGCCGCGTCCCTTCCCCGCTGGGCTGCTCCGCTCCCAGCCCGGCTTCCTCTGCCTCCCCCGCAGGTGGGGAATGGGGGGGTGTCAGCCAAGAGGCACGGGGTGGTGGCGGCTGGGGTGGCTCTCGTGGGCCCCGCTGCAAAAACAGCATTTTTGTCGCACCCTCGGCCGGGACCGACTCCAAGCGGCCCTCGCCTTTGGCTACAGCTCCTTTATTTGCTCCCTTGTCCTCTTGGTGGAGGGGGACACTGTGTGTGTGTGTGTGTGTTGGAAGGGTCCTGGGAGGTCATCTAGTTCAACCCTCTGCCGGTACAAGGATCCTCAGAGAACCCCAGGCAAAAGATGGTGGGTCTGAGCCCTCAGGGCCAAGGAGGAGCCTCCAGAGTCAGGGAATTCTCCCTGCTTTTGAGCCGGGGTCTCCATCTGCTGGGGAGCGGGGCGGGGGGTCTTGTCCTGCCCTCCAGGGTCACCCCACAGGAGGGATGGACGGCATAAGCACTGAATAAATGAAACTCCCCACCGCCTCCCCAGGGCAGCCCTTCAAGGCCGGGAAGACCGCTGGGAGGCCTTCCTCTTCCGGAGGCTAAAGATGCTCAGGTCTTCCTTGGGTCTTCTGTTTCCAAGACCCTCCCCATCTTCTCTGCCCCACTTCCAGTCCCTCAGTCCTTCCCCTACTGTGGGGACCAGAACCGGCCAAGGTATTCCGGGGGGCCAGTCTGGCCAGGGCACGCGGCCCTTCCCGCGATCTCCCAATTTGGCCTCTGGTGCTGCAGCCCAAGGTCGCCCATGAGCCGCACACGGCTGGCTCAGGCCGGGGGTGGAGGGTTGGCTGCTCTCCCCCAACCCTTCCTCATCTACCGGTGGGCAGCTCCAGTTGCTACATCCCTTTTGCTGTAGGAATGCCAGATTTTTAAAAGAATTGGAACCTGGCATTATTTTTGTGTGTGTGGGGGGGAATCCCCCAGTCTATCCCCCTTGACTGCAGTGGAGTTTTGTACTGCTAAGTTGATTTAATGTCACCCCAGAAGAATTTGGTGAGGCAGACCAAAGAGATGAGGGCTGCCAACCCTGACCTCACTGGTTCATGCAAAGTATGAGTTGGAAAGGCACTTAAAGGTCATCTAAACAATCCTTGAGGGTCATTCAATCGACACACTTTGAAAGCATTTGGTGAGTGGGAAGTTCCCGGCAGAAGGTGGTGCCGAGTTCCAGCTTTGGCACCACAGAAATCTGCCTCCTTTTCATTTCCCCTGACTGAGTCTTCTCTCTGTTTCCATGGAGAAGAATCAGGCTCCTTTTGCCCAAGGCGGTTGCAGAGCCCTCCCCGCCTTCTCCTTGGCAGGTTCAGCCTCCTTTGAGGCTTCCTTGCAGGGTTGGTGTTCAAGCTCGGGATCATCCCGGAAGCTCTCGTTGCGTCTCTCCTAGGTCCAGTGGCCAAAACTGGAGAAGAGAGACTGGACCCTCCTGGGGGTCAATGGGACTATTGCCCCCCCCCCCCCGCTCTGGCTGCAGGGCTTCTGCTGACGGCATTTGGCTTCTGAGCGCTGTATCCCTGCCGGCTCACGTCCAGCTGGGGATCCCAGGTCTTGTCCTGGGCCCAGCCAGGTCTCCTCTGAAGTGCGACGCTTTGCCTTCTCCCTGGGCAAGGCAGGCTCAGCGCTGGCCTTGCTCCACCGGGGCCTGGCCCAGCGGCTGAGCCTCTCGGCTGCGTCTTCTCTCTAAGGAGGATTGGTGTCACTTCTGAAGTTGTGGAAGAGCCTCGGCTGCTGATCCGCTGCTTCCTTCTAGAGTGAGTCAGAGAGAGGCAAGGTGGGCAGCGGGGATGGCTCAGTGGCAAAGCCAGCCTGGAGCCTGCTTGAGTGGATTGCCAATCTGGGGCTCTAACTGAGCTCCTGCTGCGTTGCCATCTGCCTGGGAACAGACGCGCAAGATGGGCTGAGGGCGCCAGCGCCTGCTGCCGGCTTCGGCGGCGTCCACCAGAGGGCAGCAGAGTCCTGCCAAACCAGTTACTAAGCAACATGGGTTGTGGGAGGGGGCACACATACCCTGTGCCCGCCTGCACAAACGGCCACCCGCACAGCCCCAACCTGGGCTTGCCCGCTGCGGCTGCTGCGGCTGGCAGATGCTGAACTGGTGCTGCTGTCCCGTGCTCCCCTCCTCCTGTGTTTGGAGTGTAGGTGGCAGAAGTGTCCTTGTGGCTGGCTGGCGCCCAGAATGGCGCTTCTCCCACCTCTGAACTGCCTGCCAATCCAGAATGCCCGGGCGGGGGGGGGGGCGGAGGCAGAAGGGCACCCCAGGCTCTCCTTGGCTTGCTTGCCTCTTTTTCCGGAGATCGGATCGAGGCCTTGACCCTCCTTGACCTCTCAGCCTCCTCAGCCTGTCCCCCCTCCCGCTCCCCCGCAGTGGGCTGGGCTGGCTGCACTGGCTGCTCCGGAGGCCCCTCCCCTTTGGGCTTAAGCACCTGCACAGCTGCTCCACAACCACAAAACCCTTGTGTGCTGCCGTTTGTGCAGGGAGGCCCTTGGCACCTGCCGCCTCCCCAATTCCCTGCCTGCTCCCTTTCCACACACACACACACACACACACACACACACACACCTTCCCCCCAGCCCTTGGCCCTGGTTCGGAAGGGACGTGGGCAGAACCCATGTGGGTGCCCCCAGCCGCCTGACACCCCCCCCCGCCTAAGGGGCCCTGGCACCGGGGAGTCCCCTGGCGTCAAAGGAGGTTAAATGCCACCAAAGCCTCACCACAATGATGTGGAGGGCGACAGGTGGGGCGAGCGGCTAAAGCAGCTGCCCCCAACCCGAGGCTTTGCCCTGTCCAGTAGCACCCAGAGCCGCCTCTTGCGGAAACCCGGTCTGGTACATTAGGCATCTGCGGACCGTCCTCCACTCATGACCGCAGTGGAGCCCAAGCTCTCCCCCGCTAAGCGAGACGGTTGCTAAGTGGATTTTGCCCCATTTCATAACCTTTCTTGCCACGGTTGTTAAGTGAGTCACTTCAGTTGCTAAGTGAATCTGCTCCCCCTCTGGCTTTGCTTCTCAGAAGGTCACACAAGGGACGCTGCGGCCATCGTAAATGTGAGCCGGTTGCCCAGTGTCCGAATTTTGATCCCATGACCACGGCGGGGGGGGGGAATTGCTACAAAGCCTGCAAGTGTGAGAAACGGTCAAAAGTCGCTTTTTTCAGAGCCATTGCAACTTCGAGCGTTCGCTGAACGAACGGTTGTGAGAAGAGGGCGCCTTGTAAGGCCCCCGGAAACACCTCGCAAAGGGAGGCTTGGCTGGCCTGCCCAACACACACCTATCACAGCCGGGGGGGGGGGGGGGGGCCCCCCGAGAGCAAAGGGCGGGGGGGGGGGCAAGTGCGCACAACAACACAGCACAGGAAACACACAGCCATGGGTGCCTCTGCCGGCCTCCCGACGCAGGAAAGTGGGGGGAGGGTTGGGGTTACGTGCCCCTGTGCCCCACAAGTCAGCCAGCCAGGGGGTTTCCCTGCAGCAAGCGGGGGTGCCAAAGAGCCCACGGGCCCTCTGACCAACCCAGCCGGACAGGCTGGCAGGCTGGGCACACCGGCAGTGCCTGCAGCGCCTCAGTTGGGGGCCCAGAAGCCGCTCGGATGCCGTGCCCAGAAGGGGTTCAGGGGGGAAGAGGCTATTTTGCAGGAGCGGAAGTGCCTGGAAGGGTCTCCCCTCTGCTGCCTCCCCTCCCCTCCAAGGTCAGGACGGGGCAGGAGGGTCTTAGGAAGCTGGAGGCGGGCAGGATGGCTGAAAGGGGGGAGGGAGGGGGGGAGGGAGGGGCTGGTTCTCCTTCGCCAGTGCCCGGACAGAGGCGGCGTCCATGCCCTCTTCCTGGGTGGAAAGAAAGGGGCTTCAGGCAGGCCTCGAGGGGCTCTCTCCCCCCACCCCATTTCCCAGGGCTCTGAGCAGAAGGGGTCTCCCGGCACCTTTCCGACTCAGCCCAGGGAGGGGGGAGGCTGGACATGGGGGTCACCACCCAGCAGCAGCAGCCGCCGCCGCCACCAGCGGGCTCAGATCCCAAGGCCCCCAGAAAGGCCTTTGCTCCTCCTTCCATCAGATGGGAGAACTCCAGGGGATTTGGGGGGGGGGGGGCTTTCCCATCAGTGCCCCTTCCCTGTCAGTCGTGCACCAGCTCCTGGTGGTCTGCCCCCCTGGTGGCCCCAGGAGAGTCGCCCTGAGCCCCAATGGCTCTGCTTCAGGTGGCTGGTCCTTGCTGCCTCTTTCTTTCTTTTTTTTTTGTAAATTTTATTGGTTTTTAAAGACAAACAAAACAAACAAAACATCCAGCTTTCTTCCACAAGTGTACAAGCAGTGTGTCGGTTGGTTTACAAATTTTTTGTGCATCCATTTCATAGTCACAATTACAGTTACGTTGCATAATAACTTATATTATCGATCAAAGATTAAATACGCTCGTATCATTATTAATCAATCATTTGACTACAATTTTGTTCATTCATACATTGCGAGATAACTATAGTTTACTCAGTTTATTTTATAACAATTCGTATAATCCTCCCAAATCTATCCTAGAAACATTTTATAGATATAGTCATAAAAACAGAAAAGAAATACGTCTTTATATATTCATTGTTTTCTAAAGTTCTACATATTTGTACAAGATGTTTTACAGGCAGCATTCCCCCCCCCCCCCCAAGAAATCTTTTTTGCCCCCCCTAGGGGGGGGGGC